CGTGGCCAATCTCCCAAACGTTCTATATGAAGCCAAAACGTCTCCCTTTTAGGAACGCTCAATCGTATCCACCGTTATTAAATAGTGATTTGTAAATTAATCACACATTGTTTAAAAATAAATCTAATCGCTACTACAGGATTATTAATTGTTTTATAGTGAAAATGGAACAGTAACTCTCTAAAAGCACAGAAAAAACTCTTGCAAGAAGCTGTCCGTGCAATACCCTAATACATTATTAAGATATTTAGGCATCACTGCAGTATATTAGTACAACAGAATTTTGTAAACAATGAATATAACTGTACAAAACTAACTAATTGCAATCTTTATGTTGGCTCTAAATATGCATGAAATATTTGCCACTGGGCATTAAGCAATCAACAGTCTAGAGTTAATGTATGTGTTGCAAATTAAATCTCAAATTATGATAAATATAAATAACCTTCTTTGAACAAACTAATGCTAATCTAATAAATGACCACTTAATCAATAGTAGAAGCACTGAGAAAACTTGCACTAGTCTAGTGAAAACTTGCAAGATAAAATTATAAGATTTTTGAAAGTGTGAAATACCTTCCAAAATTATAACAATAATATTATCATTATCATATTGATAAAAAATTAAGAAAAGCTAGCAAGTGAAGATAATTTTATGTAGTGATAATCTTTTTCTTATCTGGTGTATATTCATTTGAGCAGAATTAAGTCAGTAATCTTTAACTGTGCATAGTGTACCACATCTTGGACTACACGGATCACTACACCTTTCCTCTAGATATCCTTGGATAGCGGCGTTAAACTTTTTTTTTTAAAATGATCGAAACCCGACGTCTTCAGTCGTGTCTCCTGTCCCATCATTGAATGCCGTATGGTAAACGTTATTGCATTAAAACTGAGGACATATTAGAGCTAAAAGTTTTCATAAAGTGGACAAGTTTTCGGCAAATAACAATTGTAGGACACGTTTTGGAGAATAAAAATTCGAACGCATTTTGGCAAAGTAAATGATTAGACCCTTTGGGGATATAAAATTGGATATGTTTTGGGCGATTTGAGGTTTAAAGGACATGTTTGGGTGAAATGGACACGTTTGAGACTGTTAAATATATGAGAAATCAATGGTCACAAAATTAATGTCATTATTTTTGTTAACAGATAATCCACTGATCTGATGGCCATGGGTGGTTAATGAAAAGAATCATTCAGTCAGCATACCCATTTAAATAAATTTTCACATGACCTCGCAGTTGGTAACATTTGTCGAACTTCATGATAAAACTAAAAGTTGATGGAAATAAAATCCAGAGGGGTCTTACGACAAAAATTAATCGTAAGTTATACTAAAATGGTCATGACTTACAAGTTTTTTTTTCTCGTAAGATGTTTTGTGGAATTAGCCGCTGACCTTCCAATTTATTTTTTTGGGAGCATGCAACAGGAAACTCACCTATTTTTTTATTGGCCTTAAATGAAACTGCACATAATTATAAGGGTCAATAATTTAACAAAAAATGGAATTTTTAAATGGTCATTCACTTATACATTATGTTTATTGATGTAAAAGAAAAGGACAAAGTTCACAAGGCCTAATCAATTTCTAAAATTTTCTTTCATTGTTAAACATTTATCATTCATTCGTTAATTTCTTAATTTCTTAATTTGTGCAAATGTTAATTACAGCACTGTTCACTTTTATATCACAACAAAAATGCATCTTACTGTACCGGTATCACTTATATTTTTATCCATATAACAAAAATCTTGAAACAAGAACAATTTTACAATACCTTTTTAATTTCAAATACTAAAAAAGTCATAGTTCATATTTCTTCAAGTCTACACTATTTGTCATAATTTATATATAGAAATTAAGAATCATAAACAAATTCATTGGATTTACCAAGTTATTGTACCCCACACAACAAAGTAAATAAGTGTAATGTTTTTGACCCGTCAGTCCGTTTGTCCATCAGTCCTGTTCACTTCATCGCAACTCCTCTGAAACCATACAACAGAATTTCAGGAAACTTTGAAGATGATTAGAACATATTCACAAAAATTTTTATCAGTTGACTTTTGTAGGAGCTATGAGTCTTTGAAGTATGCTCACGAAGGTTCTTTAATTGGTATCATTTTCATACTGGTCCTTTTTTTTGTAACTTCGAGCAGGCCTTGGAGAAGACATTTTCGAAGAAAGAACTAAAATAATATAGAAGTGTACTTTCTAGCTCATCTAACCCTAAGCGTCATTCCAGGTATTGTCATTACTTAAAACCATAAAATATCTTCTAATTTCGACATTTAAACGAAATCTTTTACCAATGTTACTGGGAAAATTCTTAGCTAATTTACAGTTTTTGTTGACAAACCCAAGTAAGAAATGGCCACAACAAATGAACAAAAATAGAACCATACAAATATTACATGCATGCAGGTTCTCAGATTCCATTTCGCATATTAAAATCACATCATGCAGAAATGCACCTAATGTGTTCCTCTCCTAATTTTGAGTTTTTGCTATCCAAAATTAAAGTTGTGGATCAGAATTTATCAGAATCATTTGTAATCCATGCAATCAATGTCTCCTGCATGATAGTCTTGAACATTAAACTAAATATTAAATAAACGACACTGCTAATTTCAAGTGTTTGATACAGGTTGGCTGTCACTGTGCAACACAGTTTAACATAGGACCCTATGGGAAAAAAACAGAGAACTCTTTTTGTCAGAAAACACTGTCAGAATTCCAAATATACTATCCACACTGATCTGTGTCCTCACTTGTAAGATAAAAAAAATGTATATGTCATAAATAAATAATAAATCAACTTCACAGTGTCCATTTAAAGAAAATAAATAGTTAAAAATCATAATGTAATCTGTGTAAAAAGAGCAAAGTTCTGAAATTTGGTACGAAAGTCGATCAAAGTTTACGAGAACGACGTTGCGTAACGTTACCAGTGGTAAACCGAACATTTCAATATTTTCATCAAATCATTTAAAGTCAACTAATTAAGATATCGATCTATCGTGACTTGTGTAACTCATATGAGTATAATGAAATCAGTGATCTATATTCTAATTATATTGAGTTTAAAAGTTTTTAGTTTACATTTTGCAAACAGAACAAATTATCAAATACCCCCTCATAAAAAAAAATATAATAAAAACAAAATTGTAACATTTCTTTTTTCAAAATGCACCTTATACTGTTAAATTTGTAAAAACAATATAATTGGGAACAAAGACACATAAATTTTTATCGCAGTTTGTGGTGTATATTTTCTTATCGTTTCACTAATAATGTGCACCTAAATTATTGATTTATCATATGATGATAAAAGAACTGATTTTACAATAAAAACCACACATGCTTTTGTTAATTTATGCTGATTTTTGTTTTTCATTTGAAATAAAAATAAAAATACATCTTATGAAACAATAATCATTCATCTTTGATGCATAATTTACAAATAAGTTTCGTGTAGTGTTGATCATAAGTATATAATATATATATATATGTTTAATATTAAATTAAATCATAATTTGTTTTACTAAACAACAAGCTGGCAAAGAAGGGGACACAGCTGGTTCCCATTGAAAAGCCGATTTTTTTTTTGAAAAACACGTGCTCCAAACGTAACATATGTTTTGACAATCAAGAAATCAAGCATATCAGGATTTTGTCCCAGATTTCACAGTTCATTGAACATGGACATGTGACAGTGTAAGCGAGGTATCATATAAACTTCCGTCATGAAGGATGTAGGAAATATTTTAATATAAAATGTAAAACCAAAAGAAGTTTTAACATAAAATTAGTTATTATTTCTAAACGTCTTACCTTCAGTGTTTATCAATCTTAAAAAAAAAAACAACAGAAAAATGTTATTAAACTTTAGATATCCTCTCTGTGAAAATGTAGTACACATTAGGTCAATGTTTTGAAGTAAAAGTAACTGAATTATATATGCGACTTTATATAGTCTCGTGCTTCCTTTTAGGAGGAAGTGGAATATAATCAATGCAACGAGGATGTAACAACAATGGAAAGTTGAGTAAATGAAAACGTTATAACAGAAACCAAAATATGGGATTTTATATTTTATTTCCCGGTATAAGAAATACAGTGAAGAAAAGGAAAATAGTAGCAAGCCTTGATAGGAAAGATATTTGTTTTTGTTTTTCCACTTATACATAGAAATAAGAAGATGTGGTATGAATGCCAATAAGACAACTCTCCATCCAAGTCACAATGTGTAAAAAGTAAACAATTATAGGTCAAAGTACCGCCTTCAACACGGAGCCTTGGTTTACACCGAACAGCAAGCTATAAAGGGCCAAAAAATTTCTAGTGTTAAACAATTCAAACAGGAAAACCAACGGTCTAATCTATATAAAAAACGAGAAAAGAGAAACACTTAAGAACCACGCCAACAAACGACAACCACTGAAACAGGTTACTGACTTAGGACAGGTGCAAACAAATGCAGCGGGTTTTAACGTTTTAACAGGCGCCAACCTTCACCCTAACCTGAAATAGTAGTGTTACATTACAACATAGAAAGACACACTATAAAATATCAATTGAAATGGCTTAACTCAATCAAAAAGACATATCAACAAAAACATGTAAACATACAATGAACGAATAAATTTGATCTATGACACAATGTCAAAAAGACAACTATGACCTTGGACAAAACGGCGTTAAATAAAATAACGTACAAAACAGGGTTTTGCGAAAAAATAAAAATTGTGGCGATTAAAATTCATTATTGGCGAAAGAATTTGGCGAAAGAAATATAACAATTCGATTTCATCCATCTTGTTTACTTTTTTCTTGTTTTCGGACTTTACCTGATCAGACAATATTCGGAATTCACCTTGAACTCGTAACGACTGTGACAGAAAATCAATAATCAGCTGAGTGCATTTCATAGCTGTAGGCAACAATACTCTAATTAATAAAGGTGTTGATTGTATTATTTTACGAAATGATGGGCGGAAAAGAAAACTGTTGTTGTGACATTAACTGTTCAAAAGTAAGAAAATCTGCGACTTTAAACTTTATCCTTTTACTTTGATAGAAATAATTGATTTGAAGTAGGTACCAGTACTTTACAACCGTTTTAGTGACGCACAAATTTCAAGCATAGTTTTACGTCTAGACTTTTTCTTTTTACGATGGTCCGGACAAAAAAAACTGTTGCTACGAAGAAATATATTCAAAAGAAAGAAAAATCTCTGACTTTAGTCTTTATCCTTCAACTAGACGGGAAAATATATATCCGATAAACTTATTGACGATGAATCTCGTGTTCCCAGAAGTCAAAAATTATGATTTCATGATCGATATTGCAATTTTACAGTATCTTTTAAAAAGTAAATGTTTAGTGTTTATTCATTACAATCTAGATTAAAAAAAAAGATATGTAGAATTATCATAGACAACAATGTGGCAAACTGATTTTTTTGTTTGTTAGAAAGAATGAAAATTTTATAGAAAAATATATTCATGTTAATTGTTAGTTGGCGAAAAAAAATTGAAAGTGGCGAAAAGTATATTGTTTTGGCGAAAGAGGTGGCGAAAAAGAAAATGGACCCAGGGGAAACCCTGGTACACAGGTAAATTTAAATATAATAATTTTGTTGTTAGGAGTACGGAGATATTTTTACAAAATAAATAAAATTTGTTGTACATAGTACGAGAACAGCAGTGAAAATTTATCGTCCTACTCAATACTACACTCAAAGGTGGTACATATTATAGATAGTGAGACGAGATATAACACAAAATAAGTAAACATTGAATAACAAAAATGCATTACAAATTGTGTAACAGGTCAAATCAAGTAGTAAGTAAGATTTGAGAGTACTCGCAGTTACTGAAAGCTAGTTAATAATAATAAATAATAATAAAAAATCATGCATCAGAGACTAAAATCAACTAAAACACATCCCAGGGATTTAGTGTTTTAATGCCATGGACAGTCAAAGAAAACATGTCTTGTGCAATGCCAAAATAAAAATATCGACAAGCAGTAGGATAGTTTGGATTTAACCTTATAATAAATATGTATAATGTAATATATAGATAAAGCAATTTCTATATAGAAAATGAACGTTGATGCGTTTTTTATACATCCAAAGCACCATTCGAAAAGAATACAAATTTAGTTATGTTTTAATTTGTTGATGACAAAATCGATATTTGTGCCAATGTAAACAATATTCAAAGATCTTATTACAAAATTGATTAGATAACCTTTACTAATAAGTTTGTTTAAAGGTTCGGTGAGTTTACACGGATCCCATAGTGATTTCCGCGCTTTAAGTACAATATTATCGGAAAATTTAGGATGTGAAATACCGTTTTTAATAAGTTTTCTACAGGTACAGCCAAATTTACAAATCAAATCTTTGTATCTATGAAAGAATTTTGTAAAAGTTTTAAGTAATTTATGGTAACGAAATCCCTGACTTAATAATTTACCAGTGATGCATTGATTACGTTCGTTAAAATCTATGACATCACTACACACACGGGCATAACGAACGAGTTGGGATAGATAAACATCGTATAATAGAGCCAAAGGAACATCGCCGTCTAAAAAAGGAAAATTAACAATAGGGAATAAAAAATCGTCTCTTTTGTCGTAAATTTTAGTATGGAGTTTCCCTTTAGAAATTGAAATGTCTAAATTTAGAAAAGGACAACTGCTGCTGTTTATGTTAGATTTATTCAAAGTAAGTTCATTTGGGTAAATTTCGGAAGTATATTTAGAGAACTCTGGATTATTTAACGAAAAAATATCATCAAGATAACGGTAGGTATTGTTGAATGTGTCAACTAAATGTAACAATGACGTGTCTTTACTGAGTTTGGTCATAAACTGAGATTCATAGCAATACAGAAATAAATCTGCTATTAAAGGGGCGCAATTAGTGCCCATAGGAATACCTACTACCTGTCGATACACTTTTTCGCCGAAACGTACATATATGTTGTTCAGGAGAAAATTTAAAGAGGTACTAAAAAGCTATTATCATGTTTGTCTTATTCTAAAGTTCGTAATTAACGTTTAAGAATGCAAAAAACCCGATTCAATTTGGTCTACTAATAACGGAGAAAATAGCTTGTGAAGGTCGACTATTTTTACCTATGGAAAATCCAATCAATGCTACTTCCGGAAAAGGAGATTTACCGGAAGTGACGTATACAGGGTAACTCCCGAGATTTGTTTCATTTTGATCAGTACGAACGTAACATGGATGAAAACAACTCTGAATTATCGCTATCCTTCCAAAGCTCTTCATTTGAAAGCATTGAAGATGGTGATCGAGCAGAAGATATTCAGCCTTATCAGTTTGAGCCAGAACTTTCAGAGGGAAGTAGCGAAGATGATGAAGATCTTACGCAAAATGGGGACGTCGATATGGAACCCAGATCGGGAAATACAAACTGGTATGTAAAATTGTTTGATATTAAATGGTTTTAAATTGCTGCAGACAGGAAAATACATTTGATTAAATAGCAAACCCATTTGAACAACAAATTCACAAATAATTAAGCCATTCATGTGCAGACTTCTCTACTATTGCTATTATAAAATTTTACTTTTTTCATGCATTTAACTGAAAAGACAGATCTATATGTACATTTATCTGATACAAAGGCTAATTCACGAATTTATTGGCATTCATAAGTTTACCCACCTTTTAAACTTACAGCTATGTCATTATAATTTACCACCCTCTATCTAAATTAAATATAATAGAAGGCTCTGAATTTTTGTTTTTAGAAAATAAATGTTTAAAAACCTAAACTTCTTTATCTTTCAAAATCCATTTAAACTTGTTCAAAAACCAATTATCAAGTGTCAGATCTCTTGCTACATGTAGTTCTCTGGCCATAACATTCCAACATACATGTATGAGACTTAACAAATTATTTCCACATTTATGTCAACATCATATATACCAAATATTTTTTGCATTTTTAGTGCGACATTGTGCTGTAGTTGTATAGGTGTTTTTAATGTAACACATTGTGCTACATTTATTTTCTTGGATTTTAAAATGTAATTTTACTTTGCAGGTGTGACTGTGGACATTGTGAATCCATGCCAACAGCAAATGAAAAAGAACTAAACAGAATGACAGACAAAATGGAGGAACTACCTTCACCTACACTATGCATCACAGATCACAGAGCATCCTGGATTTGAGCCTGTGTGTCTGAACCAGTGTGTACTGGAAACAGCATATTACCAGTACAGACAGCAGTATGGAGAGATTCAAGTGACAACTGAAGATTGAGTTTATAATTTAATAAATAGTAATTTTATTTTCATTACTATATAAATAACGCTTCATCACATACATGTATATAAACATAATAACATAATCATGATAATAGACGTAGACAAAATATAGATGCATAAGCAATCCAACATCAAATAATTTACAGAGACCTCATTTTGTTTAACAGCCAGTAAATAAGGTGATATTTGATTAATATTATTAGTTACATGGTGTTAGTGACCTAATACGATATATATGAGGTCAGTAAATTCCAGATGGGATGAGAGCGAAGCTCGAATCCCCATATGGAATTTGCTGACCCCATATACATCGTATTAGGTCACTAGCACATCGTGTAACAAATTTATCTTACCGACTATCTTCACATATGGTATTTAGACTAGCGGCCTATCAAAGTGATTAATTCTTCAATACTTAGTATTTAGAACCTACTTTCATTTGTCTACACAACAACAAATGCCAATAGTAACAACTTGTTACCTTTAAATGTGTTTTATGAATTTATTTCAATCGTTTATCACCAATTTCTTCGTCTGTTGAAACCTTTCAGATTTTTCCTCAACACCGTGTTGTTTTTATAAAGGGATGTAACACCACTACTAACTGTGTACTGAAATAAGCCCCGCCTACTAACCTTATATGAAATATACACCATGCGAATGCTTTAAACCAATCATATTCCTAGAAATGTATAGGAGGTAAGATAATAATAAATACAGTGCAAATGCACATGTCAATAGTTGCCTTTGACTGAAGCCAAAACAAGATACATTTCCCCAAAACTGATTGATATAATATAAATGTTTTATTATTTTTTGGAGAAATCGTTATACAGCCTATCGTCAGTTGGCAAGATGGGGTTGGGGATATCTTGGAAAGTCTGTACGTGTTCGACTCCCAGCATGTGCTACCATTGCAATAAGAAACAAGTTCCAGTCAAACCAGTACAAAGGTTTTGAAGAAGCATAAATTGACTTTTTACAAACATTAATATATATGTACAAATATTCCAAGCATTCAATATTTATTATACAAATTAAATGTCATGTTTACAAAATTAGCACTTGTTCTTTATTAGATGTTCAATCTACATTTCTGGCTTCCTAAATCGAGATTGCATTTCTAGTATAGCTTTTGTTTTTAGTGGATGTATGTACTCGGCACAGAGTGGTCTTGGTGCTTGCATTGGTACTTTTGGCGATTGTCGCATATTTGTTCCTTCAACGATTTTTCTTACAGATTTCATCAGTGTGTTGATGTATCCTGAAAGATAGTTATATTATTATAACCTTCACTAAACAAAGTGATCAAAATTGGAAAATATCACAAAGAGCTATTTCATATCATTTAAAAAAAAAATAAAGAGCTACAATGTATTAAAAGTGCCTGGGTTATAACCATATTATTGAATTATGAATAAAAGGAGATGAGTACTGTGTGTGTCAACAAGACAGCAAACAAATGACACAAAATAATAAATAGACAAAAGGGTGTATTATTACAAAAAGTCAAGGTCTTACTCATCTATTTATTTACAAAGATTACTCTGTTGAATGTTCATGTTGGGTTGCTGTTCCATATATACCTTTTATCTCATTGCGATTACCTGTAAGATGTTGTTGATACATATTCTTATTACAATAAAATTTTTTAGAGTTAGAAAAAGTTAAAAAATGGAAACTTACGGTCTCCCTGGTGAATATGCATTTTTTTTTCCACTGAATAATATCATTTGGACATAGAAATTTAAATGAAAATGTTACTTAATGCTTTATAATTCCTGATGATTGGGTGCTGATTGAGGTACATTACTGTAAGAAGATGACTTGGCTTATGTAACATTGCATGTGATTTCCTGTCAAAGCGTCGTCTTGTTTCTTATATTTGATATAAAAACAAGAAATGTTGTTGCTGCGGCCTAAAATATATTCAAAATTCATTTAAACTAAGGCATCTTTAAACGTTTTTGTTTTTTGTGGCCTTGATTTTTCCCTCATTAACATATACCTTGTAGGAACTTTAAATGGCCTTTTGACCAAAAGCCTGAATTTTATGATATAACAAGACTAACAAATAGTGTAATAATATCATACCTGGTTTTAACCATTTCTTTTTCCTGTCTCGTCCCACTAATCTTCGATGTTTACAGCTTGGAAATGTGTCAGAGTGGCCTGTATGGATGTTCTGTACATGGTTAGCCACCGACAACCATTTGGACACCATTTCTTCTCCATCATCAGCTGGTGTTGAAGCTGCTACCCAGTACATGTGGTTTGTGATGCTTTTTATCCACTCTCCAACTTTTGCACAGTCTGTCTCCTTACTGAGTTTAACCATTTTTTTCTTTAAACCTGTTAAAAACAAGATTAATACAAAAATGAAAACTTTTTTACAACTATATCTTGAGGAGAAAAAAAACCCAAATTTATGTGATTTAAGGATCATTTCCTCAAATTATCCATTGGTAAGTTAAAGAATTTATTCCAAGGTTTCAACTCCCTCAGGCAAATTTTACCTCAGATGAAATAGGTTTTGCTTTTAGGTCCATTTTTGCCATAAAGCTGCTTCTGTTCTTTCGTCATGCCTGATGAGGCTCATTCAAGAAAAGAGCTAAGGTGGAATTTAATATACAAGTATAAACTGTTATTTTCTTCAGTGGTATGTTAATTCATAATAAAATATCGTTAAAATTTAAATTAAAACTAAGATCTTTCAGATCGATCAACAAATTTTAAACAAACCTTTTGCCACATGCCAGACGTCGAAGTAGTGTTTGATGTGTGGTTCCTTCTCTCTAACGTACTTCACAATTTGAAGATGCTGATCGGTGACAAGCGTCTTGACAGACAAGTTGTTGTCATCTATCCATTTCAAGGCACGTATCAGACCTTCTTTTTCCATAGCATTGCTGGACTTGACCTCATTACTCTGGAAAAGAAAGCAACATTTATAGGCATCCCACTGAAGATTTTGTATTAAGATAAGAATTAGGCAATAAATATCATGGTCTTTTATGGCATAAAATTGCAACTCCTCAGCTGGATACCAGTTGTTCAGACTTTTGCATAACACACTAGAACTTTAATGTATAAACATTCATCATTTTACATTTGCAACATTGTTTGTTATTTCTTACGTATTTTCAACTTTTATTTTTGACTATACAGTCTGTTTGAAGTTATTGCAAACAGTTCTCAGTTTACCTTATTCTTCAGAAAATATTTGTTGAAGGCAAACTAGTTATAAATACCAATATCCATTTTTTGTGTATCTGTGGTTTGTTTTCTTTTTTGTTTGTCATTAAAATAACTATATTGTCATTGAAGAAACCCTAGGTTTTTATAGATTCTGATGAAAACTAGTAATCTCTGAAAGTTTTATGAAATGATTAAATACTGCATAATCAATAATTTGTTACATTCAATTATATGTGTTATGTGTTTCATACCTGAACCAGTTGGACATCAATTACAACACCTTGGTTCAAGTCTACCATTGAATAAGACCCATACTTTGCAGAATGGCCTGGAATATCAGCCCTACATCACCACCAACGACCAGGGACTCCCTACCGTCTCTGTATCTTACTACATGCTGCGTTTGCTGGTGCTTCCAAAATCGTACTACGGCTGGGTACAGGAAATGTCTCTGATGGTTAAAGAAGGTCTGATTTGAAATTGTTGCAAAGTTCACATTTGACTTCAACTTTTATAAGAGTCCCCACTATTTGAGAAATAGTAGCAATAGCACAACCACAACATTTACGGCATATCTTAAACAAGTCCATAAGCTGGTCTTCACTAACAATATATTTCTTTTCTTGTAGACCTGTTTCTGATCTGTTAAAGTAAAATGAAAAGCATGATAAACTTTATTTGCTGAAACCGATTAATTGGAAAAAAATATATATATGCAATTCATTGTCTACTACATGTATAGGACTTTTACTCCTTTAAAACTAAAAGCATGATTCTAAATTTACTTTTTGACAAAATATTAACAAAATTGGACACTTCTGGTAATTTGTTTACATTCCCATAACATATGATAGCAATTGTCTATACCTACATCAAAATAGTTTATTTCGGTACTACAATGTATCGCTTTTTCCACCAACAAAGCTAACAATCACGATAGAGTACAAGTATATTGGAATACTGAGTAACTTTTCTTTACAAAAAATTCTCAATTATTTGTTCTTGCAGTGTTGAGTGGTTAAACTGGTTTTACAACTGACATTCAACTTCCACTTTTTATGATTTAAAAACAAACCCATATAAACTGATTAGCTCACAATTTGTGCACGTGGTATTCATTCAATTTGTCCACTGTATTATTATATTTTCCCGATCCTTTTTTTTCCTTTATAATGTTAACCTTATAAAGCAACTTACTCATTATGAGAATCATCACTACCACCACTGTCCGAAGAATCACTAAGGGATGGTTCATATGGAAGATCTTCGGGATCATCAGAAATAACTGGATCATCAGGTGTTATGTGTTCAATGTCATTAGCATGTTATTGGACTCTTTCTGTTGTATTGTCTGCAGGCTGTGGCTGATGTGGTGTTGGTATGAGATCACACTGAATAGCCATACTACGGTATCTTGGTTGAAAGTAAGCTTGAGTACCTAAGTAGACAAAAATGAAATAGTAACTTTCAGATACACTTCATAAAAAGTATGCACTAGCTGTCAGCTACTTGAAATTGCAAAAGATTAATTGTTGGTGTTTAACACCAATTTTAGCAATATTGGCTATACTGTGGTACTAAATAAAATTGAGAATGGAAATGGGGAATGTGTCAAAGAGACAACAACCCGACCATAGAGCAGACAATAGCCGAAGGCCACCAATGGGTCTTCAATGCAGCGAGAAACTCCCGCACCCGGAGACGTCCTTCAGCTGGCCCCTTAACAAATATGTATACTAGTTCAGTGATAATGGACGTCATACTAAACTCCAAATTATACACAAAGCCAGTTTTTGTTAGAGAAAGAAGATGGAAGTGCCCCCAGAGAGAAAAATTGACCTCTGCAATCCTACTTAATTAAAATTTCATATTTTATATTTTCCAATACAAAAACATGTTCCAAAATATAATCATGATAATGCAGAAGTTCAGTTTCTAAATTTTTATACGAAAAGTTTACAAGAACTTTTAGAAAAAAGTGTTATATTCATGTCATGACAGTACCAAGTCAATTAATGCAGGGACTAATACTAGAAATTAGTCAGCAAAATAAACCAATAAAAACTGATGGTATTTATGGAATAACTCACATTTAGCTTTTGTTTTCGGATGAACTTGAATTCTGGCAGATCTGAACCTCCTTTGAGTTGAAACTGTTGCTGTCTGACTGTCTGCTGTTTTCTACGAGTTAGTTACATTTACCTATAATAACAGAAATGTAATTTAAATCATAAATGCCAAAATAGGACAAAGTAACAAAGTCTACAAGTTAAAATGTTCAAATATACATATTTATATGTGCAAATAAAAATATCACAACATTGATTTCCTTTTTTTTTGAATGAATGATTTGTAAAAATCTAATGGAAGACAATTGCTCATTGTTGAAGGCTGTATGGTGACCTATAGTTGTTAACTTCCATGTCATTTGGTTTCTCGTAGAATCATACCACATTTTCTTATTTTCTATCATCATGAATTTAACCAGTTATGAAAATTATACCTTTTCAATTTCTTTTAAATGAGTGGTTTCCTGACTATCACTGTTGCAACCTTTACTAGCATTAATAGAATGTATAGGTTTATCTGGCTCAGGGCTGACAGGAGATAGCACAGAGTTATAACATACAGGTGTGTCTTGCTCAGGGCTGACTAGAGATGGTACAGATTTATTGCATACATGTACAGGTGACTCTTGGTCTGCAGAGGGTTCTAGGGATGGGTTAGCATTCTCATCATCAATGAGCATAGGAACTGTTGGAATTAATTCTGGTGGGTTCTTAGTTTCTTCAATGGGTGGATTATACAACAGTTCCTGTAGTTTCTGAAAAAGAAAAGTATTTTGGTGAATGCTTGTTTATACTAAGTCTCACAAAGCAATCTCTTGCATATATTGCATAGTTTGATTTAAAATGTTATTCACTGTGAAGGAGCATGGACATTATAATAATAATATTATTGTTTCTTTTTATAAAGTTTATTTATCCACATAATTGTTTTTCATTTCAGTTAGATCATTAAGACTATATAAGGTTACCCCTCCTCCCCTTTTAACTCTGCTTTTCCACTAAAAAAAACAACATAAAATAATACTACTGAATTTATGTCATGCCTTCATACAATGACATAACTGATTTAGATTGATTAATTATAATATGTAATAAAAAAGATCATCTGATAGAAAAAAATTAAAAAGTAGACCATTTATTACAAAAATGCCAACCTCCAAAAAGAAACTGGAAAATGCATGGGAAGTATGACATTTGGTGAAATTAGTTACTTTTAGATACTATGATGTTAAAAAAAAATTAAAGATATAGGTTTCGGAGTATATAATATTTTATATTTTTTTTGTAAATTTATATAACTAGTACATTTGGGTTCATGAGTTTTGCCTGTGATAAAATCTAATAAACTACAATGTTTAAATTCACAGCACCTTTCTAATGATGTTTATCAAACTCACAGAGTTTACAAATGTATTTAACAACAGGTGGTATAGGCATGGTCCAGTTGTTAATTACCTGATTGGAGGGATTACAACTACTGATTACTCAACTGTTTGATCTTTATGACTTTACAGTATAACAGGATGCTACTTACTATATATATAGGTGTTAAAATCTAACTGTTTTAATTTAATTACCAGGATCAAAAGGTGATACAGATTTACAGTCTAAATCAAAATTTAATTGTTTGAATAGAAAAAATGGTAACTAGATATTATTAACTTTCCCTAAACATTTTCTCCTTTATATTTCTGGTTTTTTTTCTTTTTTATCTCAATTTTCTGAAATAATAAATAAATAATGTTTCAATATTAATAAGCTTTGGATTTTCAAATATTTTGGCCTCGATCATCACTGAAGAGACATTGATTGGCGAAATGCGCATCTGGTGCAGAAAAATTGGTACCGTTTATGTTATTAATTAAATATGAAAACTTTTTCTTGATAAGATTGTGTGGAAGTGTAGTGTAGAGAATAGAAAAATCATAACTGTCAACAGAATTAAAAGGACCATCAAAAGCACGAATTTTATCTTAAACCTCTAAAGAATTTTTAACACTCCAAAAATAAATAATACGATTATTTTCATAAGCTTTATTACAAAAGTTAATTACAAGTTCTTTGATAGTAGTAAGGGAGGTAGTTAGAAGCACTGACAGATTGGTAGTAGAACACTTACTAGATGCGGAGATGAAACTAAATTTAAATGGTTGTTTGTGTAATTTAGGTAACCAGTACATAGTCGGGATTTTCAAATGTTCGGAAAAGGCTTTAAGCTGGGTAGTGGCAGTGATATGCTTGTTTACAATTTGACTCTCTATGGAGCGTACGGACCTGAATGTAGAAGAATTGATAATTTCGTTTTGGAGAACTTCCGTGTAGTATATGCGTCACACCACCACTACATTATTTGCTTCTTTGTCGGCCGGTACGAACACAAACCGCTTTGCGAGTACTTGGAGTTTATTTTTTATTCTAGAAATGGGTATATCATGAACCCTATTATTAATTTCAGAATTGTTTTCAAAATGAAATATACGAATATCAACAGTATTCATAATTTAATTCAAATAACTGTCCAGACATTTTTTAGCAGATTTTTCACGTTTACACCAATTTTTACAGTAGCCAGACAGAGCGTCTTTAATGACCTGACGACACTGCTTCCAATCTATAATAGATGGAGGACGATATGTAGGTCCTTTCTTAAGAAAAGTTTTGACCTCACGATCTTCAACGATGTTGAGGTCTCCTGTAATGACATGACCATAGGGAACATATCTAAAACTAGATGTTTCACAGTCTCAAGTGGAAGGAGCATTATTTTCTACATTGACGTCTGATCTTACTGACGTATAATTAAAAATCAAACTTCTGCTGAGTTTTTTGTACGAATACGAAATAATAGGTGGTTCTGTATTATCAAAATACGGAGGTATTTGGCTATGGATGATAGAGTCATTGAATATACTAGATAAGTTAATAAAATCAATACCGGTACCTCTATTTATATATTTTAATTTAAGAAAATGCCGTTTATGATTTTCAGGTTTATCGATACTAGGAAACAGCCTGTGATGACAAAAGGCTGTAATAATACGGGTGTATTGATACAACGGGCTAAAAAATGAAACTTTATCACACGCCAGAAAAATATCATATAATTAACTTAATGGTATATGACCAAATTTGCATAATAATTGATGTCTACCACTATTTTTTTATTATAGATAACAGATCAGCAAGTGTATAATTTATACGATGTTTAATACGTAGATTACGGTTTTTACGTTTACCATGAGACCTATCATTTCTAAGACGTTTATCGACAATATTAATGACATCGATAGAAGTTTTAGATATGTTCCCCTGTCCCAATATTTTGTCAATGAGACCGAGAGGATAAGCTGTTTGAAGTGTTTTATCCAAAATAGTTCGCGAACTTTATTATAAGTATCCCCATTTCCTTGAAATGACATT